TTTATTTCTTTGGGGGGTTTTTGGGGTTTTTTTCTGGTTTGTTTGGATTTGGGGTTTTTTGTGTGTGTGCTTTTCTTTCCTGTTTGGTTTGCTTTGTTTGCTTTGGTTTTGTTGTTGGATTTTGTTTGGATTTTTTAAGGGCTTTTATTTTTCATCCTAAATGGGGGATGTAAAAACAGCAAATCTGTCCTGAACATTTTCAGTTTTGAACATTCAAGAATCCAGATCTTCTACAACAGGATCAATAAATGTGAATCTAGACTACTCCATTTTCTTACATGGTCTGCAATTAAAAAGTGAGAAAAGATTTTTCTTTTTTTTTTTCCCCCTCCTTCAAGAAAGTGTAATGCAATCTACCAGGGGTGAAGCTGACCGTGATGTTTACTCAATTTAACAAGGGACTTTTATATATTCTTCTTATGTGTTAAGGACATTCTTACAAAATTCTTTGGCTTGCTCCACGATTACAGCTCTCTTACAATCTCAATTTCTGCAATAAGCTATGCTAAAACCATAACTTTTAAAATATACCAAAGTCAAGCAGTAAGATCAATATTCCCAGAGTTTGATCAACTGGAAGGAAGGAGCTCTTTGGGGACTTAATCCACTACTGACATGTGATATGAGAAATCAGTGCCTCTTCTTCACCCAAGTGACCAAGGACATAGTGTAGGAAGACACCATGTCAGCAAGGCCATGAATTCACCATAAGCCGCCTGTCCTCACATTAAGAGGCCAGACAGTCACTCCAGGAATGAAGTACCTCTCTCTCTCTTTTCCTATTTGCTCATTTCTTACCTAGAAACTTATTTTTCCCAGGTTGTTTCCCAACCAGCCTCAGCAGCTAGAACTAAACTGTTTTATGTAGAGTCCCCATTCAAGTACAAACATGCTTTATGCACTAATAGTTGAACATCTTCTTGTATTAGGCAGCTCCTCTGCTATCAGGCAAAGGCTCTGCACCTCAAGACATGAGCAACAGCACCTACATTGGGATGGGCTATTAGGAACCCTCTTCCACAGACACAGCTGGTGCCCCTCAACAGAAGGGATACAAATCCTAAAAGATGAAAAAGCAAGGAAGTTGGTTAGGGAGAATTAGAAGGAGGGATAGCATCATGGCACCAAAATGTTACCCAATATCTCCAAAAGGATTTAGCTATGGTCTTGATTAAAGCTGCTCACAGGAGTGATCTTTGTCTCAAATATAAAGCAGAATACTCCTCTTGCCAGACTTATCATGGCCTATGGATTCAGAAATATTATTAGAGAAACAGAATGACAAGCCTCTTCTATAGCCAAAGGAAAATGCACACAATCTTCAGCAGGTGTTCTGGCTTACATTTCACCCATGAAGAGGCTTTTTTCATTGACCAAAGCTGGTTTTAATCTTAAAGCAAATTAGCAGTACATCAATATGCGCTCCAGAGATCAAGCACTTCCATGTTCCAAACACAGCAGCCTTGTGGAACAACAGCATGTATAATGGCTCTAGTCAAGCCAAGGAAATTCTCTTGACTTTGAGTCACCAGTATCTCTAGCTTTTCTAACCTAAATAACTGGTGTATGACACTAATCTCTCTCATAGCATTCTCATATATTGTAGTTATCAACACCCATGCAAAAGAAACCCTTGTCAAAAGCTTCTACACAGAGATTTGGGAGATATTAGTATCTTTCTTTTTATCAGAATGCTTCTGATGCCTGCACATGTTGTTAAAGAATGCTTTTTTGTAAATTACCTTGCTGAGGATTGTTATTAAGCGAGGATTTTTGTTTGATGAATGAACAAGACATGAAATGAAACACTTCTATGTCTAAGCAACCTGAAGGTGATGAATAAAACAAAATTAGAGAAAATGCATCTAGAGTGAAATTCAAGGATCCATCAGCTATCTCTCTTCAGCTATCTCTCTAATCTAATGACTATTTTTAACACTTTCACAGATGGAGGTTTCACTGACTCAATCAATCTCTATATGAATGATATATTTTAAGTCAATTTTTTTAAATTTTCATCCTGAATTCTCTGCTATAGTTTTGATTCACTGTTTTTTGTCCAGTATGCAGTAGATCTAAAGAAGAGATTAGTCCTTTCCTAGTCCTTTCCTTTTTTATATCTGTCTTTTTGTGTCTTCAAGGGTATGTTCATCTTTTGCTGCAGTCTGATTTTTGCTGGATTTAGCAACTTGATTCATTCAGTCTTTTTCCCTGGCTATATCCTCTAGACTACTGTCAACTCATTTCTCTGTGTCTCTCTTGAAGCACTGTGCCTAGGAGTGGGCATAGTACGGTGGAAGGGTTAGAGCAGAGGCACACAAGACTAGTGTCGATCCCATGACAGTGGCTGTTACTGTCATGGTAGGATGATGTTACTAAGTCATGTTCCATTTCTGGGCCACTTTACATATGTGTGTGAGGGAGGATGTTTTGAAGACTGGTCCAACCCACTGTGATTACACCCACTACACCGTAGAATCCTATATTTCGTTGAACAGCATCTTGCTTTTTTCCCAGTGCATGTTTCCAACTCATGAAGGTAATTTTGAATTCTAATCCTAGCCTCCATGAAGGTCTTTATCAAGGTGGCCATCCCATTAATAAGCACAGAAGTTTTCATTCTGCAAGTTAACGCAGACTGAGAGAGGCTGCAATGATTTAAGTTGCCTATTGTTATAGCTCCTTTACCCTGAAGAATGAGACCTTTTTCTCTTTTGTCTGAATGGAAGCTCCAACAAATAGACACTTTGGTTTTATTTCTTTGTTTATAGCCTTTCAGACTTATACTATATTCAGTGTTTGTATTTTTTAACTTATCTTTGCAGTCTGGCTTAATTGTTTGTTTCTGCAGCCTAAAATTGCTTAACTGTTAATCATTGCTTTTTAACTTGGCAGGAGGGGATTTAAGCTGACCATACGTGCTGCTCCCCTATGGTGAGGAAGCACCCTTCTAAAACAGTCTCTCTTCCTCCATAGCTATTTCTTCTGTGAGAATTGTAAGAACATTTGAGTGTCAGATCCTTGTTCTGTTCCTATCCATCAGTATAATATAGAAATACAGAATTACTTTTAAGAAAATAGTCTCCTGATTTTATACCAGAGAAAATGGGAACAAGTCCCGTCCCTTAGTTTCCCTCATGTAGGAAATATCTTTTCTGAAATGGAAAAGACAAACCAAATCCTGAGGAGAAGTCACGGGTTTCAAGGACAAAAATTATGTGAAATCTTACCTTTTATGATTTTATTATCTTTCAAAAAGACGTTTCCTTCCAATTCCTGTACAAAGTAAAGCATCCCCATAAAAATAGTTCTACTATGCCTGTGCCACACATTTTGAAGGAAATTTGTTTCCAAGAAGTTCAAGAGATTTGCAGATACCCCAAAAAAGTGGATTTTTTTTTTTTTTTTTTTGTCTAAAAGCTAAGCATCCAGCCCACACAAGTTGTCTTATCCAGGTCACACTATAATCAGTGGAGACAGGCCATCCCATGGTAGGTGCGATGAATGGTGACTCATCTCTGAGACACTGCTATTATCTAGACAACACTATGACAATTTAGAATTGTTCTCTCTTTGGAATTTTAAAGTTAGGTGAGATTACCCAAATGGTAGATTACACTGGTGAAAGCGATCATGCTGGGAAGAGTGAAACCATCTCAACAAAGCCTTCACTGTATGGTAATCTAATCTCTGGGTTCAGGCACAGAGTGCAACGTCAAACTGCTCGTCACCTTCCCCGCACAACCACATAATCCACAGTGTAGCAGGGCTCCCTACCTGGAGCAAAGCTGTGGCTCCCCAGCAGAGGAGACATCATGGCTTCTGGCCAGCTGGAGGCAAAGAGCTGAGAAGGCACTAAAGCTCACTGCGAAGCAAGAAACTACTTGTCGCTGCTCCATTCCTTTCATTTCACCTTCCCTCCCCATGTTCACAGTTGAGATATTTTGTTTGCAAGCAGTTGGAGCTCTGGTTTCTGCTCGCCCATGACAAAGTCATGGGTTAGTGGATTCCAAATGCTTTTAATGAGTATTCTCCCCTGGTTCTGCTCTATTATCAACCCAAACAGGTAGGTGTGGGTCTCACTGGCAGCCTCCTTTCCCTAGCCTGCTCAGGACAGTGCCTTGGGGTCAGTTCTGTACGGCCAGCAGCTGGCACTCCTCTTCAGCTGCAGCCTTTACTTATCTCCTCCAATTTCCTCTAACTCCCACATTTTGGGTTTGGTGTCAGGAACTGGAAGATCCCAAACGACTGCATTGACATAACCTGAAACTCATTCCAGTTGTTAGGATGTGAAGACTGGATGTGCACTCACCAAACAAGCAAACATGGACACATACTCCCTTGTTCTTGCAGACAGAGGATCATGATGCTTGGAGAGCACAAATAGCTTTATTTCTCACTTTCTTTTCTTTCTACACACACCACTAGGGGACGTTTTGTCATCACGTATCACTGGCTACACAGCTATACTTTTCCTTAGTGGGTCATTTTTCCTTTTCAGTCTTGGTGCACATCTAGATCATGGAGTGGATGTCCGAATTTTGTAGGGCTCGTGGATGACCCAGACTCACTGGAGTTGGGAAAGAGAGAATTATTTATTTCCCCCATTTCTCCAAAGGAGCCCATCTATCAACATTCCTTATGAAGTGAGGCAGCTGGTTATTTCACAGCTTGCTGGAGCAGCACAAGAGCTGAGGGCAGCTTCTCATTTTAGTGTTAAGTGCTGAATACAGACACTGCTAGTGATTTTGTGAAGATAAGAAGTAGCACAGCCACTGCAAATCAAACTGGAATGAACATCACTAGCAATGATGCATCTAAGTGTTTTCTGAAAAAACCCCAAGAATATCTTTTAGACTAAATAGTTGAAATCAATTGGCAAAACTCACATTTCACTCCCATTTTCCATTCTCATCTTATTTGTTCAAGGATAAGTGACTGTCTTAACCCAAGTCACTACCCACCTATTGATGTGCTCTTTTCCTTTCTCTCCATTGCAGACAGAGCAGCTGGTGACTCTTTGGATTCTCTTTATTGTCACAATTGCTGGAAATGCCACCGTGCTCTTCTCTACCTGGAGGAGGAAGCGGAAATCTCGAATGACCTACTTTGTTACACAGCTGGCAATCACAGGTAGTGCAGGGAGGGGAAAGGGTATCTGACCTGTACAGGAATTGTTATTAAAATGGCAAATAAGAAAATGTAAGCTGAGTTGTGAAGAATTCAGCTGCCATCTAATGTCCAGTTGCAGCTTGCCATAAAGCAAATGGATGGCTGCTTATCTTAGGGATCATTCTGACTCTAATTGAAAAAGATGTTGTTAGATGTAGTAGTATCTGTGTCAGAATGTAGCAGCTGCAACTCACTCATGTCACTAAATCTTATCTTCCAGTCTGAGTTTGCATCCACATTTCCCAGAAGCTATATTTCCAGCTGTTGTCATGGAGCTGTTTAAATTAAACTAGTTTAAGATGAATCTCTTGTGTTTTTTCTACTAAAACTGCTCTATCAATTATACCCTTGCAGGGAAGAGTGAAAATAACTTCATGTTATCTGGTTTAATAAAGCAAGTGAAATATAAAAATATAAAGGTGAGAGGAATGGATTTAGATGTTTTTTAAATGAAAAAAAGGATGTTGATCCAAGGACTTTGTAGTTTTTAAACAAAATGTAAAATGTACAGAAGCCTGGTTTGTAAAATGTCAACCTCAGCAACAAGGAAAGGAAATAAGCATAAGCAGCACATTGTTTCTCTGTGGCCTTGAATGGACTAAATTTTTGGGGATTTAAGTTTCCCAAGGGAAAATATGTGCTGTTTCTATAACAGTGTCCTGCTACTAATCCCTGCTTACAAGACAGCTGTGTTGTACTGGTTTTGTATATAGGATATATTTATATGCTTTCTGTTGCTATTTTTTTTCTAAGCTATAGTAGGAATTACAGCACTTTTTCACCAAAGAGCTATTTAATATTTGATTTTCCAGCAGTATTGCATCCTTCTTTGATGTCTGTCGTACTTCTGTTTAAACTGGAAAAGCAAAGGACTATACTGCCCAATTTTAAACATGCATTCTTTGTAAACAAATGAACTCCTGCTCATGGTCTCAACCACATCTGTCCAGGAGCTTGTCCAGTTTGAAGAACTACTCTCAGCTGAAACAGATAGACCAAGGTGTGCAAAGTGGTGTAAAAGGGCAGGCCTATAACTACAAGTGATGTAAGAATTATTACAAGGTGAGGAGGTGAAGGTTTGCTGTGACTCCTCTTCTGAAGTGCTGACAGCTGGTTTTCCTATTTGCCTGTGAGTCATCTGTAATAAATGATTTTAATTCTTATCTCATTTGTGACCTTTATGTCACTTCCTTCATGTGCCAGTGGTATTTTCCATCAGGTAAATCATGTTAATACAGCCTCACCATACAGTTTGGAAGCATCAATCACAGATCAAGCATTATAGTGTTCACAGGAGTTTCAAAATAAGCAGTCTCTGTTCAAAGAGTTCCCTATCCCAGATGAATATACTCAGGCAACCAAGAAGTAATATAGGCAAAGAGCAGAAGAGCAACTGAAGCCCCAGATGGACACCGTCTATTTTCTACTTACTTTGTCAGTGAGCAAGGTACCAGGAGCAACCATCATGAGAAAGGCTTTGGAAAATAGAAGGGTGAAAAAATGACTGTATGTATCCATCTGGCACAGAGGCCACAAGGGTTGGGCTTGCTGAAAGAACAAAGATGTGTAATACTCACAACAGCATGGTAATAGAAGATGGGTTCCAATAGGAAGAGTTCAACTAAACAGCAAAGGGTCTTGAACTAGTAAGAAGACAAATGTATTTACTGCAGCAGAGAAAGAACTGGCATAAGGACATGGGTGTCCAGGTCAAAGGAATAAAGCTAGAAGCAGACAGAAGTATCTGAATCAGGATAATTGAGGTGTACTAGGAGGAGGCTACTGCTGTTGCTGCACTGAATAAGGGTCTGAGCGGGAGTCTTGCCATTTTGGACCTATAGGAAAGAAGACTTTTTGTATTAGAATGGAGGTGTATAGAGAGCTGTTCACTAGGGGTTCAAATACTGTCTACATGAAGGGAGGGGAAGGCATTGCAAGTGCAGTTTTGAGGGAGCTGAAATAATCAGTGGCAAAGGCAACAAGGCAAATATACTACTAGATGTGGCTAGCAAATAGTGCTATATAGCTAATGTTATAATTTGACTGGGGTCCACGCGTTCCACTTGCTGACCTCCCCTTCCCTAAAATTATCCTTGACTTTTAAAATTCCCTGAGTTCAACAGTCTATTCCATTTCCCATTACAGAAATTCACATAGAAAACTCACTTGACATTCACATCTGCAGTGTTAAAAGAGGTAACACCAGCTTGAACAGCAGGCTTCTTTCAAGCCATGACATCTTTTTTGTGATGCAGGAGTCAGAACTCTAATTTATCTTCCTGCACCAAGAGTTCTTGTCAGTATTTTGGCACAAAGAAATTACTTGATTCCTGAAATGGAGCCATTTCACTTTCTTATCTTCAAAAATATTATTAAGAACAAAGCAAGCTGGCAACAGCCATCAGCCTTTCACAACAAGTTATGAGGTAGACGCAGAAGATTATGAAAACATTGATTTGTCACATTGTTTTGACATGCCAGGCATATTTAAATCCTACCAACTAAAGCCTAATCTCCTGGCAAACAGTTCCTGCTTAGTCAATAATACTACTACTTCCATCTATTTTGAGGTCTTAAAATATTTATAATTTCTGCCCCAGTAGCAGAAAGAAGAATAATGGATATATCTTTATCAATGCAGGCATTTCAAAACCACTTAAAAACTTTTTGTCTATTGATCTGTGGCTCAAGAGTTGAGTAGTGCCCTCAATTCTCACGTCTTCCCACTAATGTAGTACCAAAATGAAATTAAAACACAGCCTTCTTGTCAGAATAAACAAGGTATTCAAAGCAAATTGTGCATAATAAATGAATGTGAAATGAGCACTGTTGTTCTTCTTGACTGGTTGCCAAGCCAGATGCAGAAGAGTAGTAACTAACTGATTGAGGCCTCTTTCAGCACTGCCAGAATTCAGTGGTTGAAGCCACTCATCAGATTCAGAGAAGACTCGTACTGATTCCTTACTACATCATAATCAAAACAGGGTGCTCAAAACTGCAAGAGTTTGTAGGAGCATGAGTAATCTCTTCAACTTCAGAGTGCTTAAAGATGTTGTTGAAGCCTGAATTCATAATATTGGTATTAAACATATGCCTATACAATGCCCGTGTCAGTACCATATTTAAGTCTATGTCTAACTCTCAGTTCATGCATAAATCTCTTTGAAATTATCTGGGAATTAAGCACTAGGAAATCAGCTAAGAGTCAACAGCTGAGCTGAACAATAGTACTAATCACTCAGCATCAGCTAATTTAACAAAGAGGAATATTGCCATGTTTGCCTTGTGTTCAGTTTACATTTGGTCATATTCCTCTTCTGTAAAAATGCTTTTCTTAGAAACAAGTTCATCTGTGAAGACTGAGACTAAAGCTAGCTTTCCTACAGATTTCTATCTCCAAGGCAATTTAGTTTCTCAGAAAGTGCAAGTTCTGAAGATTATCCTGTGAGGAGGGTATTTCTAAACACTTTTCCCCAAATAGATTTCTTCTGAGTTTAGCATAAGTTATGCTCATAGCATAGCTATTTCCTGGCAGGAAATCTCTTATGTCTTCCTCTACCTGATGCCATTTCACATAACTTCAGAATCTTAGTGTCTTTAAGATGTTTGCCTCTGACTGAAATCACCAAGTAGTTCAAGATCAAAGAGTGGGATGAGTTCACAGGCGCTGTATAATGCTGGAAATATTGAAGAGAGATATATTTGTTTTAAGAAAAGATAGTTTATCCACTCATTTATGTCCATTTAGATCAGTTTACTCAGCTCTATCAAAGTAATCTTCTTAAGTCTACTTTTAAAATATAAAAGCAGTGGACATGGGAATATATAAAACATAATTATTTGAGTAGCAGTGAATAAGGAATGTCATTTATGGCCTAAAGAGTCCATTCAGTAAGAACTGTTATCATTTGACTGATTCTAAAACTAATCAAGCAATACATTAAAAAAAGTCTGCTGAAAAGAATTTTACTTCTCATTTTTCTCCATTCAACTTCAATTACTACTGATAGAGGAATATATTTAAGTTCCTTTTAATGTCCAAAGGTGCATAGTTTATTTAGCTCTTTCTCTCCAACATTAACATCTGGAAAGTTGGAGCTGGAAATATCATGACCTTTAGCTCATGTGTGTTTCTCTTTCTATTCCAACATTTAGCAGAAATCAGTACTTTAAAAACACCATTACATTTTGTCCACTGTTAGGGGTAGAAATACATGTAGGCACTTTACTGCATGCCAAATTTTAAGCCATAGACTGACAGTCTTGTTTGGAAATACATGCTAATTTGCTGTGGCTGTAATGAAGAGAGAAAACAGAAAGAACATCCCCTAACTTTTATGGTAGCTTACATATAAACAGTGAAAACAAAAGATGTTTGGTAAAAGTATGTAGCTACAGTCTATATTGTGATATAAATACCAAATCCTAGGGGATTACTTGAGAATGACATTAAAAAGACAAGGAGGTAGTTTTAAAAGTGACATAAAGAGATTTATATCATTGCTACCTTCTTCAGTTGCTCCTAGAAAGATGAACCATAGCAGGCCTTGGTCCTTATCAGCTGCCTTAATTTTGTTCAGTGTTTAGTGAAAAGCCAATACACCGAAAACTTGCTATGAGAGGGTTATGGAAGCACTTAAGTGGAAACAGACCCTGCTAAAGCAAAGATTGTTTATTTTCTGTTCTGCTTCTGCCCAGAGAGAGCATGACTGTGAGGCTAAAACCAACAGGGCTCAGTCACTGGCTTCTAGGATATCTTTGGTTAAGATGACTGAAGGAAGAGTCTGCCAACTTATCTGCTAGTTAAATGCGCTAAATAAGTGCATCTAACTCTACTGCTACAACAGCTAAATGTGAACAAACGCATTAGAAGCTGTCCTTCCCTTCTTCTTCTTTTTCCCTACACAAAAACCACTAGGTTTACTGAAGTGTGCCTGTCCTTCAATACTTTTCTTCCTTGT